ATTTTCAAAAAAACCTACTGAATAGAATTCCATCAATTCGCGGGCTGTGAATTCCTTTGTTTGATTGAGAGGGATAAACTTAATGTCCTCTGGCAGGTCAGCAGTATATTTGAAGGGACCTGAACCCAAATATTTTCCGATTCAATCGTGAAAAAAACCCAGTAAAACCTTCTAACAATACACACTCCTGCTTTAAAGAACTGATTTAGGGTAATTCGAAATGATGCGTTTTGACAGAGGAAAAAACAACCTACCAGCAATGGTGTCCAAATCATGGGTGCCAATAGCCACTAAAGTTCGCTTCCGGCAAATATTCTGATGAAGCTTATCCTGAAAATTAAGCACCAATCAACAGAGCTCGCCGTGTCCCAACAACTAGCGAGATCGTCTCACCTGTAGATCTATGAAGGAGGCGTAGTTGTCCTGATCAAATGAAAAATTCCGAAGAATAGCACCAACCACGAAAGGACGCACTGCGGCGGTCTAGAAAAGAATTGAGAGTAAGCAAAACACGGTTGTTCCTGAGACTAATTGAAAACGGAAAACGATAGCAGCCTGATGATCTACAGGTTTCCACGGTAGTAAGCAAAAAATACCATACACCTGTATATTCTAAGACTCGCACGTTTTTGAAAGGAAGCTTATTACCCTCATACCTTACATTAATGATGAGTTTGGCTCACGCATCGCTTCATTCGTCCCTCATACACTAGCAACAGGGAGGTCTGTTGCTGAAGTAGGCCGATGCTTACCCAATCAGGAGGTTTCTTAAGCAGAAAACAGAGAGCGAAGGTTCTGCAGTCAATCGATTTCTTTTGGGGAGCACCATACGTTTCACCTCCTCCCAGAGTCGCAAGGGAATTTCGAATGTGTTGGGCCTGTAGAATGTGTTCCAGGTTCAGTCACTCGATGCACAAGCCACTGTTTTTATCCTCCCAGACGAATCTGGTCCCAAATTACCTGCACCGAACGCATGGAAGGAAAAGGAGTCGATCCGGGATTAGACGCCTTGATGCCTACTGCCACTACACCATTTCCGCGCCAATCTGCCTTTGAAATGCACAGATTTAGGTCACGCACACTTAACACGCGCGCGGATAGGGAGTCAGATACCACACTAGCTTCCGCTCAGGCCACTAAACCTTCTACCCTTTGCGGACGGTTGAATTGGTGCCAGGTTCGTCTTAGGAAGGTAAAAATAGTGACTTGAACGACGGCCGGCTGCCCATACCTCTCCCCCCCCCCAAGTCATTGTATAGGCCATATCGCATTCAACATGTCGCTACGATTCTGAGCTGAAGTAAAAAGCGTGCCGCATTTCAAAAAGAGATTGGTCAACAGCAAAAGCTTTACCGTTTTATCCGTCACCCACATCATATTTATCGGCGATGTGAAGATGTTCGGTCGGCAGCATCGAACAAATTTTAATGTCACAAGCAACAGTACGGTCATCACACAAAACATGCGAGTCCAAAGAACACTCAGCAGCTGTAGGTTCAAATTCTTACCTTTTCTGTGACGATGATCTGTTGAAGAGGGCCAGAAGGCCGTTTCAACTTGTAGGTTGGGCTCTTCATCCTAAAACCAGTATTATTCGCTACATGCAGCTTCTACAAAACAAAAAAGAGATAGGAGGTGAAAAACTCAGTGTTTTGAGTGTAAAATCGAGTGAAATGTGCGTAAAAATACGGCCTTATACCCTGCGGATGAGGGGGCGTGTCATCGAGGCTCGATTTGGCGCGCTGTCTGCCCGTTCTCCCAAGTTGCTGAACCGAGTGAGCGACAACAGCTGGTGGAAGACGATAGATACGTACGAGAAGATAAGCTTTTTCGTTTGCCGAAAAGAAAAAAAGAAGAAAGATCCTGCTGGCTCCACCCCAAACCCTTCCCCTTTGACAAGCCCCATCATCCGCAGCGAACAAAACTGTAAACATGACCTAAGGACTTTTCCACCTTTCCCTTTACATTTATGAATTGACGGCAGAGGACTGCAATTTCTCACACGGCTATAGCTCATTTTCTCAGTATCGGTTCACTATGGACGACTGCATTAATTTAATGGAGCTTTTTCAGTCCAAAAATTCCCTTCGGAAGAATTTGCAATGAAATTTTCTTGAAAAGAGAAACTCACTCGTTCTTGAACACACGTAGCGCACGAGTAAGGCCTTCAACACAAAGTAGGTCATATCTGTTCGCTGGTATGTCGACTTTATAAACTTCCGAGTCACAGAGTTCATCGCCGGCAGCTGCCTTCACCCCGCTCCTTCTCTACTGCAGCTTTCTCCGAAGTCTAAACAACAATCTGAGTCTATTTTCTCTTTAGACACATAATGTTACGAAATGACTTACAACTTCATCCAGTTCAAGTCCATATTCGAAGCAAAGCTCATCGAACTCCTTCTCACCTAAATCGCAACGGTAATTTTTGGAAAATTAGCCCCTAGTAAAAAGAAACTCACTGTAAACCTTCCCGAGATGTTTATCAAGAATTGTTTTCTTTATGCCTACAGTTGGCATTCTACTAGGAGAAGCGAATACGACAGGGGAAACGAGGGAAACTGAACGGAAGCTTCGTCAACCTGCCGTCAGTTATAATGTGTTGTGCACGTACGTACAATACCGATCAATCTACGCGCAACTTCGCCGAATTGCAGTTTCCGTGTGAGAAAGTGCTCTCATGAGAGCAGGACACGTTACCCGTTGGTGATAACGAGGGGGTATCTGTTTTCCCTCATTTCAAGTGCACCATGTATCCCCCTGCTCGACGGCATTTTTTTTTGCTAAGAATGGATAAATTTGTTAAATAAAAATCTGGAAGCGTGGCAGGTTGAGAGGAATTTACGTGAGGGGCGTTGTAAGCATGTGAGGATGGTGAAGGGAGATACGGACCAGAGGAGAGCATTCGTGTAGGGGTCGCATTTGCTCGATTTTGTCCCCTCCCCACCCATGCAGGAATACGTGCGCTAAGCTCATGGGATTCTAGCCTTCCTTCATCATAGCTTCCACGTCCTTGGAACGGTGACAGTAGTGGGTCTGCATGCAGCAATCCACCTGGACTGGCGAACTGACAGAGGCGGTTTCGTTCTGAATATTTCGAAGAGACAAGGGGCGCAATTTTTCCTTTGCTTGGAAGACACAGTTCATCGATACGTGCGTGCGTAGAGTTTAAAGGTGGCAGTGCGTCCAGCCATAGAGCACTTTGAAAGCTTACAAATGCTAGGTGAAGACGCCACACGTATGCCCAGATTGCGGGTCCTCCCTCTCCTCACGCGTAATGGGCTGCGACGTCTTCGGCCTGTTTCTATTTCGGCAGATTAAACAACTGTTCTCCGTAAAGGGCGTGGTGTATTATTCATAGAGCCAATGTGGTCTATTTTCAGGTTGATTTGACAGCGATTTTTTAGCTTCTTTATCCCTTTCCTGTGTAAGCAAATGCTGGTAGGATAAGTACGGGCTGATGAAAGTGGACATTACCTGCGCTTGGTAGCCTGATCATAGCTTGTGTGTGGAATGAATGCGTCTGTATCTGCAGTGGCGTGCCAGCTTTTCTCGCTCAAGTGTGCTTGGGAAGCGGTCTGGCAGGGTGATTGGTTCCGCGAGTGGCGTTCGACACTCCGCCGCGCCGCTGCCTGCACGGCGCAGCGGGAGACGGGTGAAAGAGGATCGTAATTCGCCGCACCGCCACGCGCGGCGATGGGCGCGGCGTTTTCATAACTCGTTTAAACCTGTCGAATGAAGCACCGGACTTCATGTAGACCCGTCATCGTAGACACTCATTACTGTTTTCGGTCCTTAATTGCATGTTGTCGCCATCTACTGCCTGAAACCATCGTCCTTTGCGGGCGGGACGTCGCACGCGACGCCCAGCAGCGCGGCAAATCGATACGATCCTCTTGTCACATAACCCCCGCCAGCCAGACGCCTAACCATGCCAGGCAAACGTGCTATTTTGCCGTACGCCGCTCCCCCATTTCTAGTTGTTCTCGTAACCATGCGCGATGGGGCGTTCGGCTGCCGGATGGCTTGGTGGTCGACGCAACTGATTGCACATTTTTGTGGTAGCGGGTGGGCGGAGTATGGAGATCGCACCCCGAGGTGTTATCTACCGCTTCAGCCAGTTCCCGTGCGCTTTTGGCAGAGGCGCCGCTTAGCTTGCAGCTGCGGACCGTATTCACCTCATTACTAGGCGAGGGTCGTTTTTGCGAGGAGGTGTAGCATGTTGCCCGTCTTTAGAAGTGGTAAAGATAACTTTGAATGACAACCTTCGCTCCATGAAGCTGACCACCCTCGTCAGAACTAACAGTTACGGCGATGGTGGCATCTGCTAAGCAGCGTTCAGACTTCGCGACGGCAGCGCTTCGGTCGCGCGTTCGCCGCGATCGCGAACATACATCGATCGGCGTCGAACGCTGCGGACTGAAGAGTCGCCTGCTGCGAAGTTCTGAACGCGTGCTGCTTTGACGGGCACGGTCCGCCTGTACACGGCTTATAGCTAATGGTGTGTTGAAATAAAGGATAAAGGTTTTGCCGTTAATCAATCTATTTGTGGGATGCGGCACGCATTCTACTTCCATTCAGAATGGTAGTGGCTTATTGAAATACGGTTTTGTTGCCTATACAGGATCTTACGGGGGCCATGCCGATATGTACAAGTCCAGTGTTTTATCGCTCCCAGGACGAAATTTGGTACAATTCACCGTCAGGGTACAGGCATCGTTGTGCCGAAAGCTGCATAGGAGGGGTCGTACTTGGTCGCTGTGTGGAGCCGGGGGGGGGTCGAAATCTCAAGTGGTCACTCAGAGCCGGGCAATGCTTCGACATTTCAGTTGATAGTGGGAGTGGAGCTGTGGAAGTCAAGATGTTGAAAAAATGAAAATTATTATGAGTGTGCAGTGTTTTTACATGATTTATATTATGTTTAAAGGCACATTCCGCGAAAAAATAAGGCTATGACCTCTCAAATGTGTCGGACGACCCGGAAGGCGATTTTTGAGGCTGCGCTACTTTCAAAATGTGAAAAACGGCAAGAACTCCGCTAGAAGCTGGCTAATTAGGCCCATGGACACCCCTTAGGCCCATGCCGACCCTCACCGGCTGCTAGCTACTAGCCACTATGTTATCTTTCTCTATATAACATTTTCGGACTGCTTTCACCGGCTGGCTGTTTCTCCGCTAATACAGATTACTCAGCCTTTTTTTATGCTATTTGGTTTCCGTTTCCCGAACAATTTGCGCGCTCGCGTAACTGCGCGCTTTAACAGCCCTCTTTTCATGCGAAATCCCCAAAAATGGGTTCGTACTTGGCCGCGGGGGACGTGGGGAGTATCGCAAAAGTAGGCTCGCTAGGCATCAAACAGTACAAAAGTGTCATTGCTAAGTTTGATGGAACGGACGGAAAGCTGCAGAAGACCCGGATGTAAGGAGGACTACAGAAAAAAAAAATAAAAAATTTGTTAGCAATAAAAATAGCAAGAATAAATACAACAAATGAATATCCTCATGTTCGACATATGCTGCAAGAAATCAAGGCCTCAGACCCCCCTGGGTGGACACAGAATGTAGGGGCATGGAGGGGCGGAGTTCCAAGTCTCTGTCAGGATCTTGTACAAGCCCGCGCTATGACCTAGTTCTTTGCCTCTCACGACTGCCAGCCCGCATATAACTTGGAGCATGTCTTCTACGCGGCAAAATGACTCTAATTTGAACAGGAAAGCATGAATGCCTAGCCATGAATGGAGTGATTTTTTGTCGCTTGCTTTGTGTGGGCTGCACAATCGCTATCGGCTTAGGTCGAGGGGCTGGTCAGCTGAAGGCGTCGCAGCAGTGAGTGCACTTTTAGCGGTGGTCGAATTCGAGCTAGCCGTGCGTTCCTAAGGTTAGTTGCTTTGTGCTGAGGTACGAGACCTCCCTAGACGCGCTTTAGTCTACGGTGAGCTGTCCTTAAGTCTGAAATGGCATTCGGCGGTAGGTCACCTTATCTTTGACTTTCCAGGCTCCGACGAAGGCGACAAGGCCGAAACGTTAGCCAAATAAACTTGTTTTTTTGTAATATTTGGGTGGTGGTTTTTATCATCTTATCAGAAGGACCTCACACGATGCCAAGATTCATTGAAAGTCGATCATGGATACAAATAAATATCAATTAATAGCATGAACTCGTAAGTACGTAGATGACTAAATAATACGTCTCAAACAGATTCGTGCGTATTGTCCTTTCCAAACCCTAAACAAACATCGCTTGCATGGATAAATAGCAGCCTGAAATCAGATCCTACAACCTTTCCACCGAGCCTCGTGTCATAAGAGCGTCATGCAGGGCGCCCACACTGGGGAACCGAAATCGATCCAGGTGTTTAGCCGAGCTCGCTTCTTTCACTCATTTGAAGGAAATATATTGGCACAGAAGGAGTCGATTTTTCGGGTGGTCAGAGGGTAGCGCGTCTGTGACCCATCTAAAATATCTCCTGAACTAGCGGGTCTTCAGGAAAACTGTAAAGCTTATTGGAAAGAGAAAAGATAGGGCGGTTTCAAGACGATTTTAATCCTGATGAAATTGCGTTCGAAATAAGTAATCCTTGTGTGAAGCATAAAAACCCGCTTGCCATTTAAACTTTTCTTCTTTGCCATCCGAAACCCATCCGAATTTCACAAACGGGGAAAGATTCAGATTGCAGCTGGTGAACACAGATTTATTGAACATTCCGTTGGCATTGCTGCTAAACCATTCGTCAGAGCCGCGCCCCTCAAAGGAGATATAACCCCCGAAATGAGACCCGCAGCACCGTTGCGGAAGTTCCACAACATATTTGCCTTTCCCTTAATGACGTTTTTGCGCAACGAAGGCGCGTCGCCAGCGCCTTGTGCCCCTGCCAGCCTGAATCGATAAATAGCCAAGTATGGATACGATTTTGCTGCTCTCTTGGCTCTTTTTTATCCTTTTTTCATTTGGCTCTGCATTTTTTGTATTTTTCATGTTTCGCTTTGTTGTGTCGTGCATGTTTTCATGATTTCCCCGTCACCATTCATTGAATGCACATCTGGGGCCTGGACACACTGACCTTGGGGCTATTTTTTCACCAATTTAGCTTATCAATGATCACCATTAGTCGCTGTTTTCGATTGCCATCCCTTGTTTACAAGTTGGCATATCAGTACATGGGTTTTCGAAGCAATGAGTTTTATATTTTCAATCCTAAGGACAAATTGTAGGCAATGCAGAGGTTGTTAGCTCTATTTTCAGGCTACGATAATCAAAAGGCTGAACAACAGCCTCGCATTGCCTACAATTAGCCTATTATTGCCTGGATTTTAGAGCAGAGTCCGCCTTTCGAAAATCCAGATTCCATTTCAGGAAGCCATTTGTGGTGAACATGCATCTGGTTGTCAGTTAGAGCAGGAGGGGGAGGGTAAGAGCGCGTTCAGACTTCGCTTGATCGCGCGATCGATTCGCTTGATCGCGCGCGATCGGATCGCGCGATGATCGCTGGATCGCCTGGCGCGATCGGGTGCGGACTGTC